CCTGCCATCCATTTGTTACAATTTGTCACCCCTAACCTCGAGATAGCCGCGAGTAATCGGCACCCGCTTTACTCACGTTAGTTTTAAGTAATTTTGTAATCTAATCAATGAATATTGGCTCCGCAAAGCTATAGCAAATGAGCCTGGAAAAATAAACGCATTATAAAAAAAAAAGTTTAGCTAATGATATGTTAAGATTAAATAAGAGCTATAATAAAGTTAAATTTAAGCCAAGTTAAATTTACATTAATTTTCAGTTCAAGTTTAATTGAAGATAAGTTAAAGTTGTTAAAGTTGAGCTAAAGATATGTAAAAACTAAGTTATCGTTCTGTTTAAGTTAAGTTAGTTCCTAGGAACTCCTATGTTGCTCTTGGACGGCTGGGAACTTCTTATCTTTAAGTCCAGCCTAGCTTCGATTTGAATATTACGTAGCATAAACATAACTTCTAAAAAGTTTTAACTGTTTACTTAATTTAAGTTTATTTTAGTTTTCATTTAACATTTACTAAACGTTAGTTATATTTATTTATTTTAATTGAACAGAACTTCCAAGATGTTCAAAGAATGAAGTTTCTCTGAAGTTGCCTGGAAATAACTTTCACATAACTTCAACTTGACTTTACAATAACTAATGAAATTTTAATATAACATCAAAATATCTTTAGTTAAACTTCAGCTTATCTTCAATTAAACTTTAACTAAATACACCTTAAATAAACATTTACTTTAATTTAACTGCCACTGAACATTAACTTATCTTTAACATAACTTCAACATTACTTTAACTTAGCTTTAACATATTTTTAACTTAGCGTTTACTTAATTTTAACTTAATTTAATCTTAACCTTCACTAAGTTTTAACTTAACTTTGACTTAATTGTAAGTCAGCTTGATTTTATGTAACCGAATTTCAACTTAACTTTAATTAAACATTAACTTGTTAAATTAAATTAACTTTAATTTCAACGTAACAGTAACTTAAATTTAACGAAATTTACACCTAATCTTAACTTAACAAGAACATCCAAGTGAGATGTAATGAAGTTTAAAGAAGCTCCATGAACTTCTAAAAAGTTAAATGAAATTCAAGATGTTCCAAGAGATTTCAATAACTTCCAAGAACTGAAGTATTCCTGATGTGCTCTGAAAGGATCCCTGAAGTTCCCTTGTAATAACTTCAACTGCACTTATTTATAACATGTACTGCAATTTAACTTCACTCTAACTTAAGTGTCAACTAATTCTATAACAATTTAAACATAGCTTTAGTTTAAGTTTAACATAACTATCTTAACTTTAACCAAACTTTAAATTAATCTCAACTTTAGCTTCAACATATCTAACTTAACTTTAACACATACTTAACTTAAGCTTAAGTATCTATTAGTTATATATATATTATTATCTATATAATTAGTTTAACATTAAAGTAACTTAGCATTAACTTAATGTTTACATTAATTTAGCTAAACCTTACCTAATTAATTTAACATGAATCTCATTTAACTTTAACTTCACTTTGACTTAACTTTAATTAACCTTTAACTTAACTTTAACTTCACTTTATCGTCACTTTAACTTTACTTTATCACTTAACTTTTACTTAACTAGAACATTATTTAATATGAACTTGATTATCTACTACCAAACTTTAACATAATTTTACTTAAACTTAAATTTAACTTTCCTTTAACTTAAATTTAGCTAATCACTAACCTGACTTTATCCTAAACTTTCGGGATCTGGAATCGGATTCCCTATTGGAATCCGGCTTAGGATTCCCAATCCGGCATTGGATTTCCTTTCATAAGAACTTCCAATAAGTTCCAAGAACTTTCTACGAACCTTCCAGGAAGTTCCCAAGGTAATTAACATAACTTAACTTTTCCTAAACTTTAACATAACTTTCACTCAATTTTAACTTACTTTTAACTTAACGTCAACCTAACTTTAACTTAACTTTAACTAAAATTTAACTTAATTAGAGCTTAACTTAAATTAATTTAAACTCTACTTGAGTTTATCATTCACCAATCTTTAACAGAACTTTTACTAATTAACTTATCTTTAACTTTATTCAAACTCAACTTGATTTTAGCTTTTACCAAACTTAAACATTACTTTAACTATTTAACTTAACTTTACTGTAACATAAATTTAACTTTGACTTTAATCTAAATTTAACTTTTACTTTACCTTAAATTTAACTTGACTTTTACTTTACTTGAATTTAACTTTCATTTATCTTTAACTTAACTTTAAATTTACTGTAGCTTAACTTTAACATATTTTTAACTTTACATTAACTTAGCTCTAACTTTATTTAAACTCAACTTGATTATATATTTTACCCAAATTTAACATAAGAAAAATTAAATTCAAGTTAAAGTAAAGTTAATTTAATATTATTATTTTTATTTAGCTAAACTTTAACTAAAAACTAACATTAATTTATCCAAAACTTTCGGGATCCGGCAACAAATTTCCTTTTGGGGTTCAGCTTCGGATTCCCTCCCAAAATAACAGTTTAGTTCACACTTGGGAAGTAATCTTAAAGTAAATCACTTCCAAAAACTTAAAACAGTTCAGTTCACACTTCCAACTCATCCTCAGGGTTGCTGGAGTGCAGCCGGATGTGTACCGGAAGCCCACTTATGGGAAGTAAATTCAATGTGAATCACTCCCAAAATCAACTAACAGTTCAGTTTACACTTCCAACGCATCCGGGAGGGTGCTAGAATTCAACCGGATGTGTTTGGGCAGACCACTTCTGAAAACTAATTTCAATATAAACACTCTCGAAAACTAAAATTAAATTTACACACCCAACACATTCTCAGGGGTGCTGTAATTCAGCCGGATGTGTTCCGGCAAACCCTTAATGAGCACTAATTCCAAAGGTAATCACTCCTAAAAACAACAAACAGTTACAATCACACTTCCAACGCATCCTCAGGGGTGCTGGAATTTAGCAGGATGTGTTTCGGCAGACCATTTCTGAGATAAAATTCCAACGTGAACCACTCCCAAAAACTAAAGATATTTCAATTTACACGTCCTACGCATCCTCCGAGGTGCTGGAATTCAGCCGGATGTGTACCGGAAGATCATTCATGGGAAGTAATTTCATAATGAATCACTCCCAAAAACAGTTCAGTTACATCTTCAACTCATCCTAAGGGGTGCTGGAATGCAGCCGGATGTGTACCGGAAGACCACTTATGGGAAGTAATTTCAAGGTGAATCACTCCCAAAAATAACAAACAGTTCAGTACACACTTCCAACGAAATCGGGGGTGCTAGACAGACCACTTCTGAGATCTAATTTCAAAATGAATCACTCCCGAAAACTAAAATTTAATTTACACGTCCTACGCATTCTCAGGGGTGCTGTAATTCAGCATGATGTGTTCCGGCAGACTACTTAATAGAAGTGATTCCAATGTTCAGTTTCCTTTTCTAACTCTTCCTCAGGGGTGCTGGAATCCAGCTGGATGTGTGCTGACATACCACTTGTGGGAATGTAAATCACTCCCAAAAACAACAAACATTTCATTTTACTAACCAGAATGTCGGGGATTAATTTTGGAGGTGACGGACCACCACCAGCAACAAATAGTAGCAGCAGAAACAGCAACCGCAGCAGCAGTAGATTCAGAGGCAGCAGATACAGCAGCAATTCGTGTAGCCGTGGCCGAGGCTAGAAATCTCGGTCTGATGGTCACGACACTCTTCTATTACTACACTCTCCAGCAGCCGGCTGAAAAAAATATTTGCAAAAATTATCAAAATTGTTTTGATTTTTTTCATTAAAAAACAGTTTACTTACCTTGAGAACAAATATACCTGTTGATTCGTCCCTTCGGGAGACCAACCACTCAGGAAGATGGCCATCGGAGGCCAATTTCGCAGCCCGTAACAAACAATCTCCTGACACAACCGAAATGTAAATAAGGCTGACCACGTAATCAGTCGCCGCGAAAAAAAAACACAAAAAATGGCTAAGTTCCATCCGCCATTTGGTAGCCCGGCGCATGAAATTACTCTAGCGGGGCGAGTCGCCCTTCGTCCGTATCCCGGAGCGCCATTTGGTCGCCCGGCGGATGAAATTACTCTAATGGGGCGAGTCGCCCTTCGTCCGCATCCCGGACAAAGGGCGAACGATCAGTCTTCAAATTATTGTAAAAATAATTTACTCATTAATGAGTAAAGCCACCTTTATCAAAAATGGGTTTACCTTAACTCACAAAAGGGTTCTTGACTGTAACCGTGCAAGCGTAGGGTTTGTTTTCGTTTTGTTGTTTATTTTTACTTTAGAATGACAGTTCTTACAGCAAACAAAAAAATTCTCACAGCTAACAAAAAAAATCATCTCACTAACACACGCAAATCGCACCAATCCGAACCCGCCTGGAGAGGACTATGTGTGGCGGACTTTTTCTTATTCTTTCACTCCAACGCAAAACCCCATAAGGAGCTGTCAAAATGTGTGTGAAGAAACGTCACTTCGGGACTGGTGTCAAGGCGAATGTAGGCGTTGACGGCACCCCTGTAGCTCTTTACTCCTATCATAAAATCCATTAGCAAACGTCAGACTGTGCGTGAAACATGGCGGATTTCGTACTATCCTTTCACTTCATCTAAAAAGTCCGTAAGAAACTGTCAATATTTTCTAGAAGAGACAATTTTTCGACGGTGCCGTCAACGTCAATTTGATAAGTCAGTGCCAACATTTCAAAGGGGCGTAAATGCTTTTGTAAACAATGACTTTAGCCGTCAATTTCTCGCGAATGAAATCTTCCCTCTCCAAAATTACAATGCTAGCTGGTAGAGGAAAGATTCCTCTACCTGCTGGTATCATTATTTTTCATGAGTGAGCTTTTATTCGCGAGAAATCGACGGCTAAAGCCAATGTTTACAAATGCAATTACGCCCCTTTGAAATGTTGGCACTGAAGTGACGCCAGAATTTCTGCGTGATTTTTCTTCATCAAAATGTCACATTTTGTTTTGCTTTCCCGAGGTGCGTTCGAGTGATTTTAGTGTGCCGCATGTTGAACTTTTAAAGATTTCATAAATCGGAAGTATTTTCTTTAAAATGTTTAGCTCAAGTTTTTTAACAGCGCGTCTATTAAGGCAAAATACATTGTTAACCGGGTAGGTAAACTATTATTTCCATTAACAAACTACTCATGTAAAATTTTCATTGTTTTTAGGCTGATTCAAACACGCAACAAAAACTATCTCAATCGACCTCGATTACGAAATCCAACTTGGTTCGTTAGAAAAGAACGCACGGTGAGAATCGCTACCTATCTCTGGATTTAAAATGCAATTATGATTGGAATTGTCTTCTGTAGGTCCATGATGAAATGCTCACGGCTGAAAATACATCATTTGTAAAAGAAGTACTACACACCAAGTTCGGGCCTCCAGCTTTGATGAAAGGAGTGCTTACATTTGACCAATCGAATCAATCGTTGATTCGTACAGAGGAATTACCTGCCGTCGAATGGCGTCAGGGATTGAAAAGAACAGGAGTAATTGCAAGAAAAATAGGACAATATCCTCTGTGGAAAAAGGATGGTACCAAGATCCGAACCACGCTGCTACAGGTAAACTAAGTAAATATTTGGTTTTGCTACATTACCCCGAACGGCATCACCCCAGGGCCACTTCCCTGAATGAGATTCTGCCTTCTTTTATTGGCAAATCAAAGTTGGCACTCGTGGAGAATAGAAAAACTATGAAAGTGATGATGGTTTTTAAATTTTGCACGGGGAAGTATACGAGTGCAATCTTAAAATGCTTTTATTTTGAAAATGGAGCATTTTATTTAAATCTGGTTACTGCTACAGTGGTAGAAAAGCGGAAGTCTATGTTTACACCTAAAAATCTGAAAAGAAATTATGTTTTCTGTATTGTATGTCTATTGAGTAGTCCTGAAGTTTTCTACTAACGTAGCACTAACCAGATTTAAATAAAATGCTCCATTCACAAAATAAAAGCATTTTAAGATTGCACTCGTATACTTCCCCGTGGAAAATTTTGAAACCATCATCACTTTCATAGTTCTTCTATTCTCCACGAGAGCCAACTTTGATTTGCCAATTAGACTGGCCAAAACAAAACAAAAATGAGCTGAAGCACAATGAAAATTTTACTACGTCTAAAGCCTGTTAGGTACGCAGCTGAAAAGTCATGACGTTTTTACGTACTACACGGAGATGAAAAACTACCCAAAATTAAGTACTTTTACCTCAATATCCGGCCAATAACCCAAATTTGAGTAAATAGGCGAATCCAATTAGCAAATCAAAGTTGCCACTCGTGGAGAATAGATGAACTATGAAAGTGATGATGGTTTCAAAATTTTCCACGGACAGGTATACGAGTGCAATCTTAAAATGCTTTTATTTTGAAAACTGAGCATTGAATTTAAATCTGGTTGTTGCTACAGTTGTAGAAAAGCTGAAATCTATGCATACACCTAAAAATCTGAAAAGAAATTATTTTTTCTATATTATATATCTATTGAGTAGTCCTTAAGTTTTCTACTAACGTAGCACTAACCAGATTTGAATAAAATGTTCCATTTGCAAAATAAAGGCATTTTAAGATTGAACTCGTATACCTCACCGTATAAAATTTTGAAACCATCATCACTTTCATAGTTCATCTATTCTCCACGAGTGCCAACTTTGATTTGCCAATAGAGACTAAGCGATTGATTCAGCCTCTGGCGGTAAATAGAGGAACCCTCAAAATAGTGATGAGGGTGGAAATTTTTACCGTGAAGCATAGGAAGGGGAACATATTTTCACCTTTCCTGATTAATTTATCCACCGCAGGTGCTTGAAATCATCATCCACGTGGAATATTTTGTTTTCTGTTTCTGGTTTGCAGTGATCCGGCTGGTGCTTCCATATATTTTTGAAGCGAAAAATTAAGATTTATAAAATTATCGCAGCGGTTATGATCTTCCGGATTTTTAATGTGTGGTTTTTTCAGCTATAAACCAGTTCAGATCTGTAGATAATCGAAAAATAAGACCACTCCTGATAGAAATTTGCAAGTTGTGCATTAAAATGTACATTATTTTGAGTTTTGAATATCGTCATTATGGTGTAAACAAATGGGTTGGATGACATTTCCTCTCAAAATCGGCTAGCGCACTCCACATTGATGGTGCACGAAAATAGCCTATTAGCACTCATATATAGGATTTTCAGTGAAAACTAGTTGTATGAGTGCTCATTGCAAGACAGCGTATATCACGTGATATACGCTGTAATGTGAACGGGGTATAAGACCACTGGGTCCCGAAGGAAATCATTATTATTTTTGGCTCACTCAGTACCAGAACAACGGTCCCAAGCAGTCCCAAGCAAAAAAAAATACTTACTCTTAAGTATATTCTACCCAAAATTATTTTAATTCAAGTAAATTTGAGAATAAGCAATTTACTCAAAAGTAACTTATTGGGTTGAACTATATCGTTGTGTCGAATCTCTCGTTCCTTTTTAGACAACAATAACGAGTGCAACTGAAAGGCTGAAGTCAATATTAGGTAAAAAGATCTCAAATTTTGGGTAGTATTTTTTCTCCGTGTACGGGATAGGACACGGAATGCTAATAGTACGTTCAGACTACAGAGTTATAACATGTTATAGCGCTATCTTGATGGTGGTTTCTGTGTTGCAATTTTTTGACAACCGTTATAACATGTTATAACTCTCCAGTATGGACAGCGTTTAAAGAAATTACTTTTCCTTACACGGTAACCGGAAAATAACCAATAATGACTACAAGGTAAGCATTTTCAAGGGAAACTGGGACTACCCATTAAATGAGTAAAATTTTACCCATTTATGAGTAATTACAACTACAAAAACAAGTAGTAAGTATTCATTTTTGAATAACAAATGTGAGCATCCCGTGCACCAGCTTGGACTTCCGGCCGTTCGGAACAAATTGGTCGGTGGTAGGATCAACATCATAATGATATTGGACCTATTACCAGTTGATTTGTTTCATGCAGCTAGAAATCCAGAGCCAAAGTGCAGGATGCTTACTATGAACCACCTGCTCATTATGCCCTCTTACTCCTAATTTTAAAGTTTGTTGTAAAAATGATGTTTTGGATGCATTGTAACAACATAAAAACTGATAATTCAGTGTCAACATTTCAAATGGGCGTAATTGCATTTGTATACAATGGCTTTAGCCGTCGAATTCTCGTGAAAAAAAAAAAACTTACTCATGAAGAATCATGAAACCACCAGGTAGAGGAATGTTTCCTTTACTAGCTAGCAGTGGCGTCGCGTAACCTCATTTTTTACCTGTTCAACAAGTTTGAAAACGTTATTTAGGGTCATGTTTACATTCAAATCAGTTTTAAAAGGCATAGGGTATTCTAGTTTCACTGATTTGTATCCATTGGAACCAATATTGTTTTGTTTGTATACGTTTTGAAAGTTGTTGAACAGGTAGATTGAGGTTAGGGCGACGCCACTGCTAGCTAGCATTGTTAATTGTGAGAGATGGGCTTTTATTTGCAAGAAATCGATAGCTAAAGCCATTGTTTACAAAAGCAATTACGTCCCTTTGAAATGTTGGCACTGAATTGTTGATTTTTAATTTTAGCAAAATACACCTTCCTATAGCTGTCAAATTTACTTTTGGGAATATTCCTCAAAAATTACTTTTCCTTTTTTGACGTAGAACTACGTCTTTGCCGACTATACTGGGGTGCAAATCAAAAAATATGTGTGGTGAAGGAGTGTTAGGTTTTGAGCGCTTGTAACTTTGTCATTTATAGATGAAATTAAAATGCAAATACGCCAATCGATAGGATATTACATTACGAACCTGTTGAAATAAATATTTTTCCAATTTTTCTGTAATTAAACTATTGAAAGCGTACAAATGATAATTTTATCACTGATTTCATGAAATAAGCCTTTTTCACAAACCCAGTCATCATAAACGAATACCCCAGACAACCAGAAGTCGTATAACAATGTACAGACAGTATCGTAAATTGCTACAGTTTAAGTCAAAATCGCATATTAGAATGGCATACCTCACATTATGTTTAAGTAAAATCGTATAGAATGCAAATTTCCGACTTATATGCGATGACTCATTTTTCCGTCGTACTGTATCACAAATTTAATCGGATTACATCGGACTTTTCAAAATGGATTTGTTATTACAGATCAAATCGCATATGATGTTAAATCAACTCGTTTAAAATTAAACGAAAATATGCACGTATATGGCCTCCACTTTTGTACGTATAAGCCATTTCTTTGCATTCTATACGACTTGTTTGTTTGTATATATGTTTGTATATCACGAAAACAACTTTGAATATACGTGCATTCTGGTTGTCTGGGACCACTTGGTTGCACATCATTCTGCTTGAACCTGAAAAGATATAAATCAGCGCTGCTCTCATGCCACTGCTCATTACCGCTTCGGACGGCGTGGCACTAGGTCCTACATCAAGCAGGACTAGGTTAGCGGCTAAAGGTGGATCACGGCGTATCCACCACAATAAGGAATGAGACTTGAAAAAACGTGCATGTAAAACCCCCTCCCCCTCCCCCTTAACAATAACCCGAAAAAGACATGGACATTGTATGAACAATTAATTTTTTACATGCAGAGCTAACATTTTCAAAAACAAATATTGCTTAATAGGAGACATTCACTCGATGAATTACCAACTACTGACAGTAAAACATATCTGGTACCTCTATATATGCAATTATATTAACATCCAAAGTCCATCCTCTTTTACATATTCTGCACAAAAGAAACTTTTTGCTCCGCCCCATTCATAAAAAACTGCGGGAAATCCTACCAGGTTCTGAACCTGAAAAGATATAAAACAACGCTGCTGTCATGCATTTGCTCATTGTCGCTTCGGACGGCGTGGCACTTGGTCCTGCAGTAAGCAGGACCAAATCAGCGGCTAAAGGTGGATCACGGCGTGACCACAATGAGGAAAAGTAATAATTAAACCCCTCTCCCTCCCCCCTTCACAACAATCTCTCCCCCCCCCCTCATTCATCAATAACCTTTCCTACCCCCCCACCCCTCAACAATAACCCGAAAAAGACATAGACTTTGACGATCTCTTTTTTCCGGGAAATAAATTTGTAACAAATCACAATCATTAGTAAAATCAGAAGTTTTTCTCTTAATTTCTTCCCACACCAAAACTTTCAAACTTGTACATATAAAAACCATGCGTGACCACACATACTATTCATTTGCGTATAAATTTCAGGTGTACTTCTGAGTGGATTCTGTTTATGTGTGGTCAAATGAAAATCATGTGGAATTTCACATGGATATTTGTCAAGAAAAATTTGTAAATTGTTTTGAGTCAACCATAACCCAAACATTGAAATACTTGAAAATTTTAAGATAAAGTATAATAGTCAAAAATGCATGAAAAACATCAATTTTGTGTGGTTCTACGTCATACTGTGGTCGTGTCTAGGACACAACCCTTCAATTTTTTTTGACGTAGGACTAGGTACGTCTTTGATTTCTATATGGGGGTACACTTTGTGAAAACAGAAAATGGAACATGTAACAA